CATTTTTAAAATGATTGTTATATGTTTATTTTCATGTGACAGATTATCTTGCAGTACTGTTCACCATAGATTTAATGCTTGTCACATTGTCTTCGACTGAGAATGCTGCCTTCTCATTTTTAGAGGGGAAGCGCCACTCCTTCACCCTTAGATGGCAGCCCATGTCTCCTTAGAGGGGACACTGGTTAAAAATAATCAATATCTCAGGTGAGCCTTTTGAACGACCTCCTTTGAACTCCAAAATAAACCACAGATGTCTGATATACGTTCAGTGCCTCCTCTTCCTGTAAAATCCCCAGGCTTTCCTGACTGCAAGTACACAGGTCACGAAGCTATCTCTCACAGGGTGAAAGAATTATTGATTGGGAGCAGAGCGTGTCTGCCAAGCTTACTAAAGTCCTGAAACATTTCCTCCCTAAAGCTTTGTGTATTGCGGTCGATTGTGAATCACACCTTTGTCTCCACATTATTTCTCATTTTTTGGGACAGACAGTGTTATATAAAATAATTTTATGTAGATTGAAGATGGTCACACCTGAATTTTAGGCAAGATTTTGCATGTTTCGAATTCCTTTCCCCAGCAGTATAATTACCTGGTATGTGATGGTTTATAAATCCTGCCCTCCACTGTTTGCAGCGTTAAAGCTATTTTTTTTTTTCAATTGGTCAAAAAAAACAAAACAGATAAAAGTGAGACTTCAGAATAAAGTGTGAAACATTAAATATCACAAATGTATCTGTGTGAGTGCAGTTTTAAAGGTAACAGTTACTACTAATATCCTAACTGAACCTTTGTTTTATAACATTTAAAGAATGCTGCAGCTTTGAAACATAGTAACACACATTTTCACAAAAGTTAAAGGGACACTATAAGCACGCAGACCATTTCATCTCATTGAAGTGGTCTGCGTGCAGTTTCCCTTCCCCTCCTATAGTACTGCAATGTATGTTTCCTGGCCTTTCACAGAGTTTAACTCCATGAAATGAAGCTATATATCCTCACGCTGAGCAGCAGCTTTAAAATCCCCATAGGAAAGCATTGAATCTATCCATTGCTATGGGGAAGGCCTAATGCACATAAGGTCCCCCATCCGCTGACACAACCCATTCAATGAAATTAAATTGTTATAATGGCTGCAGTGCCCCTTTAATATCCTAAAAGGGCTTCCAATCTGTCCATTACTTTCTTCAAAGCAAAGACAGTTTATTCACGTGCTTCACGTTGGTCTGTCTATCTTTAATTTTTAAAAAAATGTTTCCAAGGTATTAGAATCTATTATCCCTGCTGGAAGACCATTTGAGTAATGCTGTTTATAGACAGAATGTCTCCTCTGGATGCCATCACTCCAGATTATAATATTTACTTATTTTTAAAATAAAGAAAAATCGAAACTGCAGGTTTGCTAAATATCTTCTCCTACTGTCCATGGGATTTGTATCACACACTTTTTGTTTGTTTGTTTTGTGCATTGTGATAACATATTCTCACCAGTGCGCTCTGACATATTAGGTGTTGTGTAATTGCTAAAGTGCATGGAAGATGCATTTTCTCCGCAGACTGAACTGTGCAGTGAACACAAGTAAAAGTCATTTTCCCAAGATTGTTCTAATTCTGTTAACCCAAATCACGTCCCCTGCGCCTCGCACTTTTGCCATTATTGGGTTCCCTTTTCCATAGGAGATTAAATTGCCTCCAAGCCAGAATATGCAAATGTCTTGTTTCCACGGTATTCTGTTGGGACACTTTTCACAAGTGCAGTTTGTTTTAACATTCAGTTAGTGCAGAGCAGGTGATATGCAGCACAATCTCTCAATCCCATCATTTGCATATACTATAGTGTGTGACAAGTGATTTTATTTACATTATAGTATCTGTAGTGCAGATTTTGAAAAACTATTTTCAAGGACATGATTAGGGCAAAGAGCTCCGTATAAATAAATACATTTAATATATATATATATATTCTCTTGTTTTATATTTGTAAGTATTTTATTTGCGGGGAAAATAATCATACTTGCAACTTTCATAGCGCTGCTGTCTGTTAACGGGGGAACTACGAAAGATCCCATTTAAAACAAAAGGGGATTTTGTCCTTGTGCCATCGGCTTCTACTGTGACAGGGATGTCATTGAAATCAATGTGGTACAAAGGAAATAAAAGATTATCGTGCAGATAGAAAGCCTTTCTTGTGGTCACTGAAAATAAATATATATTACAATAAAGCACTCAGTGGTGTCTTTTTTTGTGTTTTAGATAAAGGTGGTACATGACAGATTGAGCAGGCTGAATGCAAACAGTAAAGTGAGCTGTCAGTGAGCTATTTAATTATACTCTGCAACGGTAAAGTTTCAGACACAGGCCCAGCGAGAAAAAAGAACACATACAGCCAGTCATTGCCTTTTCCAAAAGCTTATGCCGATCCTCATTTTCACTGAGAACGATCACATGTTTGATGTTTCACTTGGAGAAATAAATGCCAGCAGCGTGTTTAAAACTACAAAAAAAAAAAAAAAAAAACATCAAAGCTGCGTTCTTGGAAAGCTGTCTATTAGCTATCAGTCGCTGTACTTTAAAAGAAAGGGTATGACTTGGTGAAATTCTACTCCAAATCCACCGTTTAGCCAAGTACCTGCAAAATAACTCTACTTAACACAGTCATTTGGAGAGCTTATTGTGCATTAAGGTCTCCTACGTCCAGCAGTGACTGCACTTTGTGATGCAACGTTCTCTACCAGGTTCCCCCCCACATTTTGTTTGGTTTGGTTATGGGAACAGATTAAATAAAATACATTAAAAAATCTTTACCTTTTTAAAGCCAGATTAACGAAAAAAAGAACGTTGGAGCGATGGTATTCATTGTTTTTTCTTTGCTGTAAGAGGGCAGTATCTTCCAATTAAAACTGTACAGTTTGTATTTAACTCCATTCCCTTCAGAGTTCTTTTTATTTGATTTTTTTAAATAGTGTGTTTTTCAAACTTGGGATCCATAACTAGCACATACACGTAGGATGAAACAGCAGTTTTGTGAATAGATTGCTTTGCTGGTGACGTTTAAAGCTAAATTTACCTAGTTTAAGGTTTTTCAGTTATTCACCCTCTACAGAAATATCAGGAGGGAACACAAGTCTTAGGGATGATATAGTGTGAAAATTCAGGCTGGAACCAGGAAAACAATTCTTGTCAGGTATAATAATTATGAGATTGTACACTGCTCAAAAAAATAAACAAAAATAACATCCTGAATTAAATATTCTCCTGAAATACTTTGTTCTTTACATAGTTGAATGTGCTGACAACAAAATCACACAAAAATTAAAAAATGGAAATCAAATTTTTCAACCCATGGAGGTCTGGATTTGGTGTTACACTCAAAATTAAAGTGGAAAAACACACTACAGGCTGATCCAACTTTGATGTAATGTCAAAATGAGGCTCAGTAGTGTGTGTGGCCTCCATGTGCCTTTATGACCTCCCTACAACGCCTGTGCATGCTCCTGATGAGGTGGTGGATGGTCTCCTGAGGGATCTCCTCCCAGACCTGGACTAAAGCATCTGCCAACTCCTGGACAGTCTGTGGTGCAACGTGACATTGGTGGATGGAGCGAGACATGATGTCCCAGATATGCTCAATTGGAATCAGGTCTGGGGAATGGGCGGGCCAGTCCATAGCATCAATGCCTTCGTCTTGGAGGAACTGCTGGCACACTCCAGCCACATGAGGTCTAGAATTGTCTTGCATTAGGAGGAACCCAGGGCCAACCGCACCAGCATATATGGTCTCACAAGGGGTCTGAGGATCTCATTTCGGTACCTAATGGCAGTCAGACTTCTTTGGGGGGGCCTCTGGCGAGCACATGGAGAGCTGTGCGGCCCCCCCAAAGAAGTGCCACCCCACACCATTACTGACCCATTGTCAAACCGGTCATGCTGGAGGATGTGCTCAGTGTGAACCTGCTTTCATCTGTGAAGACCACAGGACACCAGTGGTGAATTTGCCAATCTTGGTGTTCTCTGGCAAATGCCAAACGTCCTGCATGGTGTTGGGCTGTAAGCACAACCCCCACCTGTGGACGTCGGGACCTCATACCAACCTCATGGAGATTGTTTCTGACCGTTTGAGCAGACACATGCACATTTGTGGCCTGCTGGAGGTCATTTTGCAGGGCTCTGGCAGTGCTCCTCCTGTTCCTCCTTGCACAAAGGCCGAGGTAGCGGTCCTGCTGCTGGGTTGTTGCCCTCCTACGGCCTCCTCCACGTCTCCTGATGTACTGGCCTGTCTCCTGGTAGCGCCTCCATGTTCTGGACACTATTCTGACAGACACATCAAACCTTCTTGCCACAGCTCGCATTGATGTGCCATCCTGGATGAGCTGCACTACCTGAGCCACTTGTGTGGGTTGTAGACTCCGTCTCATGCTACCACTAGAGAGAAAGCACCGCCAGCATTCAAAAGTGACCAAAACATCAGCCAGGAAGCATAGGAACTGAGACGTGGTCTTTGGTCACCACCTGCAGAACCACTCCTTTATTGGGGGTGTCTTGCTAATTGCCTATAATTTCCACCTGTTGTCTATCCTATTTGCACAACAGCATGTGAAATGGATTGTCACTCAGTGTTGCTTCCTAAGGGGACAGTTTGATTTCACAGAAGTGTCATTGACTTGGAGTTACATTGTGTTGTTTAAGTGTTCCCTTTATTTTTTTGAGCAGTGTATATGTGCGTTTTGCTATAATGTAGCTATGTACAAAGAGTCCCCCAGAGCAGGGCAACTACCCTGCTCGTTATCTTTACCCCATCAATTGTCAAATATTTTCTCTCTAGGATTGTCATCTCCAAAGGTGAAGTTTAAAGAGTTGGATTTTATTTCTCCGTCTTAAATTGGAGACCATGATATTTCAAGTGTGCTTCTCTATTCTGGTAGGTTTATTGATGCCTCCTGTAGCTGGAAGATTTGCTGTTAATGGTACACTGTAGCACACGCTTCCCCAAACTCCTGCCCCCCAGATGTTGCTGAACTACAACTCCCATGATTCTATGAAATAGGCTGAGAATCATGGGAGTTGTACTTCAGCAACATCTGGAGTGCCGGAGTTTGGGGAAGCCTGGTGTAGCAGGTCTCTGCTTCTCTTGTGGAGTTTTTGCCAAGCTATCACACTCCTATCTTCACCCCATAAAAAATACATATTTTTAAAGAGGAGTTGTAGAAATCAGTTTATTTTGCACACTAAAAAAGTGACTACTATGACAATAACATTATTATTTTATAATTTACATAGCGCCAGCAAATTTCTTGGCGCTGTACAATGGGTGACATAGACATAGATATTAATAGCCACATACAATTTGTTCTTCGGCCACTCTAAAAGTGTTGTTTTTAGTGATTTATTGATAGGTAATCCTATTTATTTTGCACAAATAAAAACAAAATCCAAAGGACAACCATAAAGTTTCTATAAAAATCTGTCCTATTATTCAGCAGTACAGAGGAATATAGTGAGTACCACCTGTTTGCAGTCCTATACTCAGCTAGCCAAAGATGCACAAGTGTATAAACGGTCACATTTACTTTTTTTAAAGCTTTTTCTGTAATGCGTCCAAAAGAATCTTTCCGACACCTCCTGTTCCTCTTTTTCCCATTACTACATCAAAACACAAGTTTGTAATATGACTGGAAAAGAAAGATCCATTCACAATCTGAAGGATATTCTTATTGCTTAAAGCTGCTTACCTATCACAGAACATCCGCGCCTCTGTGGTGTTAAAAAGGCACACCTTCCAGCTTCTTCTTTTATACATCGGAAGGAACAAGTTTATGGAACGTGGGAAACAAATCCCCCAAGACGTGCAGATAAGAAAAGCATCGATATGTGTTGTGCTCCTGTGTAAAGTAATTATTTGGATTGTTGTGAGATTGTGAGGAAAACTGGGTTTCTCTGCTATGGCTGAGCTCTCACGATATATTACCTAGTTTTGGACCTTTCGAAATTGATATGTTTGTGCATTTATACTGTTGGTGTGGACATATCGTTTACCTTTGACAATTTGTGTATCTGGTTTGTTGCAGCAAAATATGATTTATAGTTTGTCTGAAAATTCTCCTAGGCTTTGTTATTGTCTGGTTTTGAATTATATTTTTAATAAATGTGCTGTGATCCAGTGTAATGTACTCTTTTGCAAAATGGAAAAGTGGCAGAAAAAACACAGAAAGTGACACTTTTTATACACAATCCCCTTGGTGCACCTTAAGACCACAGGAATAAGGAGTACTATCGTGTGCAGTTGCAGCCAGAGCCCATAGTCTCTGTTACTAACGATGTAGGTATTTCGATGAAATTCCAGCGCAATGTTATATGTCTTTTATGTTGATTTTGAACGCGGTTTGTGCCCACCTATGCTTTGCAATTCCATATAACCCTTCCTGTCTCATGAAATCAGGCAGCCTTTTTACAAATTAAAGCTTTGCCCAGCGGTAATTAAACATTTCTTTTTGCTTTAAGTGTTTGACATTCTTCTTGAACATTCAATTCCGTGAATACATCTTCACTTGTTCTAGATCTTAGTAAATAATACCCTGTTGTGTTGTGTAAAGTAATTTTTTGTCTTTTTTCTGATTAAACTGCATTCATTCCATGGGATACTTGGTTTAGTGACTCAAATGCTAAATATATATATTTTTTTACCCTTCCAGATTTCGATTCACAGTTGGCTGCCAAGCACGTAAAGAGCCCTAGTGATAATTGAAAGTTGCATTGATAAAATAGTATGTGTTTATGTCTGCAGGGCATTCTTCTAATTGTAGGGAGCTGTGTGAGAGCTCGTTGCTTACCCTGGCCCTGGGCTGAATCAGCAGAGTAAAGTGCCACGGCTTGTATTCACCATTAGCTATACATCATCTGGAGACAAAATCTGTCACGGCGTACCTTATAAATCACAACAAAAAGAAATGAATTTATTGCAAATCATACAGATTTTAATCTCAGCAAGTCGGCAGAAGATTTAATGTGCCACAATTTCAGGAAGTTATTCTTCCTTAGAAAGGCTGTCATGCTTGACGGTAACATGTCGGCGGGAATTTCTGAGCCTTGTCATGGCTCCTTTGAAGGTTTAGATTGTTTAATATGCTAGAAATAATCTGAATAACTCCGAACATCCAGGACCACCATTAACAAATGGAGTCGTAGAAACTATAATCAAAGCATTACATTGCTACTGAAACCGTGCTGGATGGCAGTGGTTTAAAGTGGTATAGTGGTTTAAAGCATTTGAAGTTATGCCGCATACTATAGAAAGTGCAGTACCCTAATGTACCAAGATTTCTGTACAACACCCATTGCATGCTACTATGTAAACAAGAGGGCATCACACAACCTAAAGGTAGTGCCATACCCTAATGTACCCAGATTATTGTTCAATGCCCATTGTATAGATCTTATTTCCGTCAGTGTAACAGCAGACTCAAGTATTGTACAAAGATTACTGTTCAATGCCCATTGAATGGTACTTTGTAAACCGTAGGGTATCACACCACCTAAAGGTAGCGCCATACCCTAATGTACCCAGATTACTGTTCAATGCCCATTGTATATATCTTACTTTAGTCAGGGTAACAGCAGAGCCGAGTATTGTACCCAGATTACTGTTCAATGCCCATTGAATGGTACTTTGTGAACAGTAGGGCATCACTCCACCTAAAGGTAGCGCCATTCCCTAATGTACCCAGATTACTGTTCAATGCCCATTGTATATATCTTACTTTAGTCAGGGTAACAGCAGAGCCGAGTATTGTACCCAGATTACTGTTCAATGCCCATTGAATGGTACTTTGTGAACAGTAGGGCATCACTCCACCTAAAGGTAGCGCCATTCCCTAATGTACCCAGATTACTGTTCAATGCCCATTGTATATATCTTACTTTAGTCAGGGTAACAGCAGAGCCGAGTATTGTACCCAGATTACTGTTCAATGCCCATTGAATGGTACTTTGTGAACAGTAGGGCATCACTCCACCTAAAGGTAGCGCCATTCCCTAATGTACCCAGATTACTGTTCAATGCCCATTGTATATATCTTACTTTAGTCAGGGTAACAGCTGAGCCGAGTATTATACTCAGATTACTGCAGCGTGTTTATTACTCGATATGTTTCCGGCAGCATAGAGGTATTATATTTGATGATGGCCCCTCCATGTTTATCAATGAGTGTACCTAGTGCTGCAGACAGTCCGCCTGTATGGTTTGTCAGATTCCTTTTAATCATTTGTAAGAGGAAAGAGGCATTTGTGAGGCTTTTGCCATATGCTAATTCTGTCCGTAAGAATAAAACTTTTATTTGGGTGAGGTGATTTGCGATCCTAGTTTATGTTGGCAAAGTGTAGTTATGATTGTGTAGGTTTTGCATGTTCTGACTTTATTGTTTCGGGAAGTGTCCGCTTTTCTGTGTGATCGAGTAATTTGTTAGATCTGTATGCGTGCGTCTCTCTCTCTTTCTTTGTTCATTTAAATAATATTACATTGTGAATGAAACCATTCTTTACATGCAGGGCAGTGTACAGTCCGAGACCCTGCCTTTCTCATTATTACTATTGTACACTCTAAACATTGAGATTTATATACGGTCACCTCCCCTTTTCTCTCCATGTACTTCTTCCTATTAATAAAAGTACTCACAGCAAATTAGGTGTATCATCCATTATGCACCAATTATTGTAATTTTATGGGGGGTTTGTGTGAGTACACTCAGTTGCAGGAGGGAAATTTCATCTTTTTTTTTCTTATCAATTATTTATATTTGAAAGTGCTGATTTAAACACCCTAATTTTTGCATTTTCCCATTAGAGCGGTCATGTAACCTCCTTTGCAATGCATCTTGGCACAGTGGTGGCTCTGGTATCGTGACCAATATAATCCATGCAATCATCTAGTAGCAACGATGTGTCAGTACCCTGCATTTAACTCCCATCACGCCAGACCGTAGCATTAACCGGTGCCATGAAACAATTAACCAGATTTTTTTTTTTCCCCTTCCAAATTCTTTTTGTACGTGATCATTTACATCATCAATCATATTTCTATACAGTACCCTGGGAGAGGTTTTTTTCAGTTGCGGAAAGCTCTAATATTTCTGAATAAATAATATATTGCCCAAGTCAAGCTTGATCTCAGTCGGGCAGCACATCACAGGAGAAATATTTCTTTAAAGCCTATTTACTCTGCAGGGAGACGGGACGCTGAAAGCACACCGCTACTCGCTGAGAGCAAGTCTGTGCAGACACATGCGCTTTTGGCTGCAGAAACTAGTGTGCTTAATGCTGCTAATGTAAATCTCTTAAGCTGCATGCATAGTAAAAAATAAAATATTTGTTCTTTATTATCAATCACATGTTTTCTTTGGCAGTGTCACCTGTCAAATTCCCTAAGGGTTTGCTGATCCAGCACTGATAGATCCAGGGTTCTGTGTAGGAATAGAAAGGACACTGAACTGATTGCAGATAGCGCCAATTCTACATCCGTACAAATCACCTTGCTGCTCAGGGCATGGTTTATAATCACTTTTACTCTTTTTTTTTTTTATTCTGTCTGTGTTCTGTTTAAATCATAACAGAGATTCTAATAGTTTGTATCCATTATAGATGGACATAAATGCAAAAAGAAATAAAATAAAAGGCCCTTACCTTTGAAGGTGACCTTGCGCTTCCCAGGACTTTTAATACCATGTTTACTGTTACGTCTTTTAAATATGTATTTGTGAGGTATGAAATAGGGATCGACAGATATTTTTTTTTTTTTTTGTTTGTTTGTTTTTGAAGCTGATAATCTGTGAACTTTTACTTTCGGTAAATGCACAAAATATACATGCCACATGTAGTGGATGAACTGTGTGTGTAGTGTGCGTAAATTGAATAGTGTTTGTGTAGTGTGTTTATATAGTGTAGTGTGTGTGTGTTTGTGCAGTGTGATTATATAGTGTAGTGTGTTTATGTAGTGTAGTGTGTGTGTGTTTGTGCAGTGTGATTATATAGTGTAGTGTGTTTGTGTAGTGTGTTTATATAGTGTAGTGCAGTGTGTGTGTTTGTGTAGTGTGTT